GCTCCAATTTGTATAGAAGAACTACAGGTCCCACCCTCTTCACCTTCTACCCTCCCCCCCTCACCACGTTTTCGCCCCAACCCGCACTGCAATTCCCTTTTACATCTAACCTACATTTCCCTTGTCTGCCTGTCTTGGTAACAATCTTCCACCGACACATCCGCATCCTTCCCCGCCATGGCCGCTTCAAGCCCTAGATCCATCCAGCATTCCCTCATCCACCACCCAGGCCTCCTCGCGTCAAAACTGCAGCCCAATTCTCGCTCCTCCCCGCACCACTTCCTTCTGAAAACCACGGCTGTGTCCTCTACCACCTCCTCCACGTCATCGACCTCGTCCTCCTCAACTTTCCCAACCATCCAACTCACCAAGCCCGCAGCAATTCCTTTCTATTCCTCCCGTTCCTGGGTCTCCACCCTTCTTTCTACAAAGTTCTACGGCCCCTGCCCGCACCACGCCAACCTCCGCAAGAATGATCTTAACCTCTTCTGCACAAGACACGCCCAAAAGATCTGTCAATACTGCCATCGAGACAACCACGATTCGAAACCGTCTTGCACCATCCTCCACGTTTCCCGCTACATGTATCATGACGTGCTTCTCGCCAAGGAAGCCGCGGCCCTCCTCGACGTCTCTGACGTGCAATCGTACCTGAACAACGGGAACCGCGTGGTGTACATCGATAGAAGGGCGCAACCCAAGTCGAAACTCGCGCCGCACGCCAAAGCTTGTGCCGTGTGCTCGCGCACGCTGCAAGATCCGTACCGGTTCTGCTCAGTGTTTTGTCGGCTCGCGCATGCGAACGACCCTGCTGCTGTAGCGACTCTGCCAGTGCCGGACGCGTCGCCATTACTTCACCACAACATTCGCAAGACAAAGACGGTATCTGCTCCGTCATCGCCGCAGCCTCAGTCGAAGAGGAATGAGCGGTCGTCAAAACGGGGCGAGCGTCCCAATTCGCGTGCCATGTCGCCCGTGACACCGGAGCGCGCCCACGTCAAAAGTATGTCTCGGACAACGGCTCCTCCCCTTCAATTGAGGTCTATTTCTAAGAAGAGCAGACGCAAGGGGACACCAGTGAGAAGTCCATCTTTGCATACGCTAGAGTATTTATTAAGTCATGGGACGTGTGTGTAAGTAGGGACAAGAGTGAGAAATTGAAACTGGCAGAAGGGGATAGAACAAGGCAGTAGTGTTGTGTCCACCCCTTGTATCTGTGACGAGAATTGTAGTGACGATTGTACAGTTTAGACCTTGTAGATAATAGTAGCATCCTCGATCATCGCACATCGTTCGGTTGAGATTGCCGTTGCCTACCTTGTAGAAGTACGTGGTTGAAAAAAAGCAAAAAGACAGGAAGGAAAGCGAACCGTCACATTGAGAACTTAACCCAGAAACCTTATTGCATGATGCCTTGAAGGATTTTCCCTTTAAACGTGTGCGATGCATTACAGCATTACAGTATCAAATTGATAAGAGGATACTTTAGAATGAAAAGTATTTTGAGGGATGACGTCAAAAAGTCTCACTACCCAACTGTTGGATTTCGCTAACGCTCATCCTTCCTACGATCTTCCCCTACGTTCCTTTCCTTACGGCTCTGTTGGATTTCGCTACTGTACTACATACAGTATTGTGCACACACACACACACACCCCCCCCCCCCCCCCCCCCCCCCGTTGCGTGGGCAGGGGGCCCCCCCCTTTTCCCCCCCCGCCATTATTATCCGAAAGGGCGTG